AATAGGCACTCCCATCATCCTTAATTTATATCTCAATCCCTCAATCATTTCGATCGCAATTCTCATGGCAACAATCTCAGAACCAAATGTAGATGTTTCCACAGTGGTCTGTCTTTTAGAATACMATAAAATAGGAGATCTGTTGAGGTATATAAGAATTCCTGTGTGAGAACGTCGTGTAGCAGTACAGCCTGCATGATCGGCATCCACAAAGCAGTTCATGACAACAGGCTTCCCCAAAGCTTCAGGCATATCTGGAGGCAATAGCTCCTCCGCTTCGGGGTAGAATTCGGACCAGTCACAGTTGGAAAAGTGACTTTCACTTATCATGGGTTTAGTGTCATCAAACACGAGCTTGGATTTCTTGTGTTGTTTCAAGTATGCAAATATTCGGAAGGCCTGATTCAAATGGCCAATCCGAGCCTGGGCGAGATACCTTGAGAGCAGTGACACAGGATGTATAATATCCAGTCGACCGAGCTCACATAACCATCTCAACACACCAATCAACCCTTGATAATAGTTCTGAGTCCGCTTGTCTAATTCATCTGTAGGATCGATCTCAGGTCTGTAATCCGGGGAGAGGGGAGTACTGATTTTCTTCTTCGGTAGGTACTTGAAATCATATTTCTCTGTCCCCAGCTCCTGTTCTACAGCTTGAATTGCCTTCTCAGTGTATTTCTCAGCTGACATAGCCCATCTCTTAATGTTAACACCTGGAATCTGGTGTCGACTGATATCAGCACCAAGATATAAAGTAGGCTCCTCAATAGTTCCATCCTTCAGGGTGAACCTCTTTTCAATAGATTCCAACATTAGGCGTGGTTTCTCACCACAACACAATATGTCATCCACATATGCAATCAAATAGGCCCAGTACGGGGTGCCGTCGGGTTTAACCTCTTTTCTCATATGCACATCAGGATCAGCTTTACATGAAATATAGCCAAGCTCTCGTAGGTGACTTGTAAGATATGCTCTGAATGATGCACCTGCCACTGGTAAACCATATAGCGCTCTGACAATTTTACATGGCCTGCCAAYGTACTCCTCAGAGAAACCACACTCAGCAGTGGCAATCATGTAATACTTCTCCTTTATTGGGGCTGTCAGATAAGCATTYTGAATGTCAGCTGATAGCACGTCCAAATCATTCAGAGCTGCAAGCAGGAAGAAGATCCGAACAGAATCACRACTGGGCACACTGGAGTAGGTGTATTCTTGTGACAAAGCTGGGACCTTATGACCATCACCACATAGTCTGGCCTTTCTTGTTAGGGTCCCCAGTTTTATGTCAAACACCATATGGGCAGTAATTTTTTCATGACCGACCGGAACTTGGTCTTTTTCGTTAAACTGGAAGGCAACCATATTATTGGTCATTTCTTTGCCAACAGCTTTAGCCCAATAGTCARTCCCAGTCTTTCGGTCGATTGCAAGTGCTTCCTTGATAGAATGTGGGAGTTCCACTCCATACTTGTGGGTGCGGAGCCAATATTTGTTGCTCTTGACTGCCTTGATGATCCTTTTAGCTCTCCGGATCACCTTGTGAACCCACCATCTGAAAGCAGCTTCATCCGCAATGTTATTTGCAATTGCATATTCAGCCAGCTGGATAGGAAAGCTCTCTTTCATATCAGACATTTTTACCCAGGACRAGGTCCCATCCTTCCAGCTTACAAGGACGCGCCAGCCCTTAGTTGTAGGTTTGTCCCTCCACTGGTTACTTGCTGTCTGAAACCTGGCATCTTCATTAGAAAGAGCCACATCAACATCCTTCTCATGGTCTATGATTTCATCCATGAGTGTGTAGGTGAAGCCATTGTCATCTATTGAAGTATAAATGTTCTCAGCCACGAGATTTGCAGTATGTTTTTCAATACTCCCATCGGGCAATTGAATATTATACTCTCGTGTGTCAAGAAGTGGATTAGGGTTTCTCTGGCCTATGGGCTTTCCATTGAGATCCTTCACTCTGTCCTTCACAACACACCTCAAACGCTGGTCTCCAAATTTAATCATGACCATGTTGCCTACATACTCATCATACGTAGAGCCATCTGGTACTAGGTCATCAACATCCGGAATTGAAGCATTGGGTTCAGCAGCTGTGACCTCACTGTTAAACCTGGCATCAAGTCCGTCGTCAAATAGTTCATCCGGTGCATCAGGGAAGCTGTCATCTTCAAAGTGGACATGTTTGACAGTGTCCCCAATCTTGTCAATCACCAGCTGATTAAACTCTTCAGCACGTCTGACAATGTCTGGTTGTCTCCATTGTGATTCACTTATCGCTCTTGTTCCATTAGAAACGTGCACCTTGCCAGTGTAGTTCAAGATATTAAAACAATCACCAGCACCAACATTCTTACCAGCATAGCCCAAGAACCTTCCCAGTTTCTCACACTTGTCCTCGGGGTCGTACCACCAGATCAAATTGTACCATTCATGGAGTGTTGACAGAGTGATATCAGGGGTGTAGCCATGAACAATTTCAAATGGCGTCTTGTTCATACAAGCATTATCACTTGATGAAGTGAGGTTATGAATGTTAGCAACATGAAGCCCGCAATAGGCCCATAACCGCTTTGGTGAACCCTTGGCAGCAGTCAACTTCCTTATTTGCCGCCTTAAGATACCAATGTAAGTCTCAGCTCTGTTCTGTCTTGGTGAATGAGGCTGGATAAATGTATGATTGATGTTGTATTCACTGATCAATTTCTTCCATCGCGAGTTATTTGTGGTGGTTGCCGAACCCTGCTCCAATGCGTTATCAGAGACAAGCTTTTCTGGGATACCAAGATCATGCACAAATTGACTCAATCCTTTATGAGCATAACCCTTGGATTCAATTGGAATGAATTCAATGTATCCAAATGTAGTCGCAAATACTTGTGCTGATTTATCCTGCCGGACAATACTTGGTGATTGGAAATGCATAGTATCAGTGTACCATAATCCGGGTAACATCCTCTTGTTCCTATACCTTTGAGGCTTCAGCTTCTTGGTAATAGGCTGATCRATGCGGCGCCTGCCTTTCTGAGTGGTCACTTCAAGTGTAGCTTGAGCTTTCTTCAAACTAATACCCCATTTTGCAGACAGATTTGCAGCATCGATCTGAGACCTGCTGATTGTGTTATCATACAGGGCCGGCCCCATCTCGCGTCTTCGTTTCAAACGCCTTGCTTCTGGAGATATATCATCATCCTCCTGATCATCATCCAATTCATCTTGTATCAGCACCGGTGGTTGAGTGCRAATGTTCTTATCTGGATCATTCTTATGAACTGCTGAAATAGTCACCACTGGGTTTGCATCAGGATCCAATTCAACATTGCCAATGTCGTCTGTAAAGGCGGGTGAATGTAAAGATCGGTGAAGAGCATTAACAGTATGAACAGGAGTATTATCACGTGGGTCGCTAGTGTCCCCAGCTGATAAATTACTGTTGTCCCCACTGTTCATAGTGATAACTGCACTGATTCTTGAACAGAGTCGCCAGTCGGCAGCGATAGAGCATTCCGGAAGATCCAAATTACACCTGCTTTGAAGATAAGAGAGATATGTGGTATCATAATTACCATCAAGGTCACCATCGTGTGAAATAACCAAAGAAGTGTCCCCGGAAGGAGTGTCCCBGGGAGCAGTATCAATAGCATCGATGCGCCGGAGTGGGAGAGCAGATCTAGGTCTGGCTTCATTCACAGCCTCCTCATTGGATTCAAATACATCAGACGTTGGATTCCAAACKGGAGAATCAGCTGTTGCAGTGATATAATCACATTCTTCAAGCTCATTAGGTGTGGGGCGCCGTGAGGGAAAACACGATATAACACCAACCATCTTGAAAGGAACAAACAACTGTATTTCATCATCAGTGGAGGTGAAAGTGACACCATGTGATGATTCACTATTGAACTGTCGGGGAGTATCGTCCACCTGGTTAAAATTGCAACGTCGGATTTGATTGGGACACAGCAAACTGTGTGGGAGCTTGTTGCCGAAATACAATGCTTGATGGAACACAAGGATATATGTCTTGCCATCAGCATCGTCCCAGGCAGTGGCACATGTGGCAACTGGTACATTCTTAATTGAGTTGCACTCAGAAGAGAACGGCGCCACATTGACATGCATTTGAACTTCTTCGGGAGGTGTGAGCATGACCATATTAGAACCACAAACTGTAGTATCCGCATGGGAATCAAGCTCACATAAAGATTCACCCGGTGCAGTGGAAACAGCTGAAACATGGAATCGGTATTGATATTGCCGGCCGTTTGAGAGTCTAAGTGACCGGCCAATATTTCACGAATGTGCTGCTGAACCAAATTGATTTCCAATACCAGTGCCCTTGGGTTCCTCCTTGATAGGTTCTTCAGTAGACGTGGTGGCAGAAACAGTTCTCTCCTGTTTCTTTTGCTTCACGAGCTCTCGGTGCTTCTGCTTTTGTTCTGGGGTGAAGGTCCTATATACATGATAAGGGTAGCGTTTAGCCTTGATTACGCCAGTAAACGGCTTCTTGCTACTTGAATCTGCRTTGGATTTACTACCAGAACCATCACCGGAGTTGCCTCGTCTACTATGAGCGTTGTCAGCCTTGCGGCGTTTCCCATTGCTGTTACCATTCCCATTATCATCATGATCAGTGGTAGTGGAGCTGATGTTACGGCGCTTCATGCTTTGACCACACATAGCTGAGGTCAAGTGCTCAGTGATCTTGATAAAATTGTTGTGATCTGGATGATCAGGAGCCCTGATCCGTCTGGCAGTTTCAATAAGCCGGGGATCTTGAATGGTAGCACAGAAATCATAGCAGAATGCATCTTCATCAATAGTACCACCATAATACTGGATAGTATCACGTGCCTCATACCATTTCCTCTTATGAGTTTCAAATGTATACTGTCGTGAGTCACCCGTGTAATTGGGACTGGTTTCCATGAAGGTCCTCATCTTCTTTAACATCTGCTGGCAGTGCGTTTTAACATTCCCCATTGTTTTTAGGTGAAGATATGCACCACGACCATCAGACTTGGTATCATTATGAAAGCGCTTGATTTCCGTATCAGCGGCATCACCTTTCTTAACTTGGAGGAGACCTTGGATCGTGTGATACACTGTGTTGTTGTCAACAATAAAGTCATTTCCCTTGTGAGCAGTACAGGCAATGAGATAATCATCCCAAGATTTGAATGTACCTTCCTGTCCAACAGAGCCATCGATGTGAGCTGCAGGAACATGGGAATCTGTCCTTAGCACATAAAGTAGGGGAGCTCCTGTCTGACCTCGGACAGCACCAAAATAAGCACGCAGCGCCCGATCGAATTTAGGGAAATCCTCTTGAATAGAAGCAAGTTTCATGAGTGGTGGAGGTTTGGGCTGTTGTCCAGTCTTATTAACCTCCTTCTGTTGCTGTTCATAGAGTGTGCGTTCAAGGGTTCTGTTCAAAGGGTCTGTACTRTTGAGCCACGCCGTAGGCCCAATGCGTTTTCCAAGTTTAACTCGAAAGTTAATCCAATTAATCAGTAGTTTGATGTGGTGGAAATTGACTTCAGTCAGGGCACACTCCCACGAATGATTCTTATTGAACGTAGAATAGAAACTGCGGAGGTCATCATGATTKCGACCCYGTATAGCACTCATTGAGGCCCATCCTTGAGCAAAGAGTGCATTCACAGTCTTCCAGGAGATATCCAAACTAAGAAGGACCTGTCGAAAGTTAGCTTCAGCATTGGTGAGGCGTCAACCATTTTTGTAACCCACAACCCCATTGTGATAATCTGTGGGATCTTCGGGATGAGAAAGGTCTTCTCCATCATCATCATCTTGAGGGTCATTACTATCAGGAGCAGGATTAGGATTAGGACTCTCTCGGTCAGGGACTGGAATTACATCATCAGCATTATGATTTGAAGCATTATCATTCCGACTATTCCCTCCTTCCAATTGAGAGAGCCTATCGTCAACTCGCATCATGAACTGCATAAGCATTTCGTTTGTAACATTGGAACCTCTACCCTCAGTATTGTTCCCAGCATTCGTATCATCAGCATCACCCGTAGTATCTTCAGCAGCATCATCAGTTGTATTTTTCTTGGTTCCGGAACGATTTCGAGTATGCTCACGGACACCAAAACTCATCATAGAATTCAGACATACTTAATCCTTGGACAAGGGGTCCGTCAGATCGTGTTGTTGGCATGGTAGTATCTGTGTTGAAGTTTGTGTTTGATTTGTGAGCTTATTGAAATTGTGAGCTGATTCAGTCCACTCCAAATAAGCCAATTCACCTCATAACTTGAAACACCTAAAAATCGCCAAATCGCTAAATCGCTACCGAATCGCTGAATCGCTGAATCACTGAATCACTGTCKGAGTGCTGAATCGCTGAGTTATAATCATGAATATATGGATAATATCGATGAAAACAGCTCCAGGATGCTCCGAATAGACGTCCTGAGAGTATATCTTGGGTTATCTTGAATATACTGAATTTTCGTTGTTGCCGTAAGAGCAAAATCAACTCGTTTTACGTAAATCGATGGAATTTCATGACCAGTGTAATCRATGRAATGGTCCCCTTGGGCCTTGTTTCAACGTCGATTAAGGCTATTTTCATTTCATACCGGTCTTTGGCCTTATTACGTGATTTCATCAGTATTCTGATCATCATCGTTCAGGTGTTTTCATTACGGATCATATGGTCTTATCCTAGGAATAGGGAATTCATTGCCATGGCTATGTCGGTCCTTGAAATAGCAAAATAGCTGATCCGGGTTACTTTTATCCCAGTAATTGGAATATTTCCAAAGAAGCAGCGACATAGCTGTTTTCTTATCATTTATCCTTACACCACAGTAGTGAATACCGTTACCACCGGCAAACCCGCTGCTAAATTCACTATGAATAAGCCTGTGTCCCTTTGCAAGGCCCTCTTTACATCATGAGAGAATAAGATGCCATCCAGTGATCAGCTGAGATGGATTAGAGCTGATGGCATCTAGCCTCAATGAAAATGTAATCAATAAGATCAGTTACACATATTTTCCCTACCATTGCTACCTTGTCAATCTCTGCTTCCCACCTGTCTGGACCATATACTACTAGACTCAAGAACAGATTTTCTGCTTCTAAAATATATGCCTAGACAAAAACTTTGACCAAAAAAACAGACACTGCAACATGTTGAATGGTCATGATGACATCATGCATGGCTGACTTCCTCTTTACATAAGGATTATACACATATAGGTATGTATGGGGGTTACACGTGATCTAAATTTCGACTAATCCATGTGAGCCAGTAACACGTAAATCACGTAGATCACGAGTAGATAGTGAGTGAATAATCACCACGCTCACTCTTTAATGTAAACATCCCTTTATGTGACACTAAGGAGCATACGTACACTTTGCAGGTTATGGTGTGATCTTTTCCAACCGGCCGGTACCTACCTACCTACCTATATACCTACCTACATACATACATACATACCTACATACATACCTCATATATACCTACATACATAGCCACATAATAAAAAAAGTCACATGCACCGTGCCACAAAATAAAAAAAGTCAAATGGCCCGCGCCAGAAAATTCATACAGTGGATCCTTGTATAACCAGTACTGGTACTGTACTGATGATTTACTGTTTACTGTTCTTACTGGCAGGATAAAGGGGGGGGTTCACAGAGGAAAAGGAATCAATGGATACAGTCCAAACCTGCACAATGCAGTCGTACGCACTTCAACAGAAGTACCTCCTACCTACATGATTTGGACCACCATTGAAACCCCATGTGCAACATCCTAAAGTTTAAAACACCAACGTAGACAGGAACCACCAATGTAGACTGACCAACTGCTTCAAGAAATGATGCGCCAACACAACCAACCATCAAGTTCGTTGTTTTGAAAACTGATCGGGTTTTCGATCGCTCGAAAAAAACCTGAAATTTCAGTTTGAGTTTTGGCGGTTTTTTTTAAAGTTTTGTGACCAATCTGATTCGCTTACCGGTTACTCTAAACTACAGTACCGGAGAGCTACTCGTACCGAAGGGACTGTTTTTTCATTATTCGCACGATACCGCGCGTTTTTAACGGTTTTATGTTAAAATAACGGCTATTATTCGAATATGGGTCATTCTGGGGGAACCCCTAAAATCAAATTTAATTATCGGCGAAGTCATTATAATTAATTAACTACTGTGTATGAAAATCGAGAATCTTAATCTTATAATTTTCAATTTTCATACACACTTAAACATACTAAGAGTACACGTAATCTCGTGCAAGCAATAGGAGGAATGATAGCAATAGGAATAGTAGCAATAAGAACAGCAATAGGAATAGCAATAGGTCCTCAAGCCGCCTTTGCAGGCCTGACCAAATCGCTCCAGGTGGAAGTACTTAGTACTGTAGTAGCTCTATTGAGTACTGATTCTACGTGTTGTACACAGTCATATTTTATTGGGGGTTAAATGAAAGTATTGATAAGTGTGAATATAGACGATGACACTCTTTTAAGACCATAAAAATTGGGTCACAATGACTGTCATAGGGGAGCGGACGAAGTCCCGAAGTAAACGTTGAGTAGCATCGAAATTACATGTAACCACGCGCGCTTGGTTACTGCGCGTTACAAAAAACTAACACTAACAAAGACTAGTTATTTTTTGCCTAAGTACACGCACCTCAAGCTGGTTACAAGCGCGCAAATGGAGTTTTTGTAACCAGAATTGTAACCAAACCTTTCCCTATAGAGAAGCCCATATTTTTTACACGATAATGCTAGTAGTGTGGTTACAAAAAAAAGTGGGTCTGGTTACAAAAMAAAGCAAAAAAAGCGCACAGTGCGCTTTGTGCGCGGTTGTAACCAGGCGCACGCACCTCAGTACACACTAAAAAACTGTCTTCACTACTGTAAATACGTAGTATCAGTAACTGTACACAGTATGTTGTACGAGGAGTACGAGTACTAAAAAAATGTGAGCAGTTCTCAAAAACTGATCTTGATTGCTATTCCAGTACAAGCTCGTGTAGAAAACACCGTAGAAATATTGATTTGCAGGGGGAAACAAGCAAAAAACAAGCAAAACACCAGCACGGCTCCTCCGGATCAGCAACTCGTATCAGTATCCTCCGTATCAGCGTCCTCCGTATCATCGAGCGTCCTCCGTATTAGCGGCTCCTCCGTATCGTATCAGCGACGGACTGGGGCCTCCGTATCGTATCAGCGTCCTCCGTATCGTATCAGCGGTTTGCTTGCTCCTCCGCATCGTATCAGCGGCTCCTCCGTACTATCGTATTAGCAGCGGACGCCGTATCAGTGAGCATCCTCCGTATCATCAAGCCTCCATAAAGCAGTAACCTCCCTCCTCGCGCTGCGTGGTTACATGTAAATTTCGATGCTACTCAATCGGTTACGTAAATAACTGTGGCGTCGCATCGGTCCCAGCGCTACAAGTACTTTCTTCAGCAACACCAACAACAAGCTCTCGAGCTAAAGCTCTCGAGCTTGTTGGTGGTGTTGCTGAAGAAAGTACTTGCAGTAACCTCACTTCGGTCTCGAGCAAGCTCTCGATCTCAGTGATGTTACTGGTGTACCGAAAATGTAACCAGAAATGTACCTTGTTGAGCTCCGTGTTATTTGTGTGGGAAAAATTTTGTACTGTGCGCTCTCGAGCTAAAGCCCTCTAATGCGCAGTACAAAACTTTTCCCACACAAATAACACGGACCTCAACAAGGTACCTACATTTCTGGTTACATTCTTGGTACACGCGCGGACCGTGCGACGCCACACAGTTATATCACATACTCGCAACTCGCACGATGCGATTGACGGAAAAAAAATACCTCCTTCTACTARTAAAAAATAATGATGGAGATCATGAAGCAAGAGTTGTTGTAACACGCAGCAACAAGATAACAAAGCAATGGATTGCAATTGGACGTCCGATTTAATCCCAAACGCTCGCACTCGTAGCTTGCAACTTTGCGCAGCCCAACGCAACAAGTACAAGGAACAAGCAGAATGGACCACCGCGAAGCAGCAGAGGATTTCGCAATCCCGGTCGAAGCAGAATCGGCCTCCAGGAAAACCATCGACAATCTTCTTTGCCGCGAGATGATGAAGCTGTCTGTAGAGCAGCGCAATGACATTCACGAAGAGATCCATGGAGTCAGAAATGTTGCAAGGGAAGAAACGCCGGAGCTTCTCGAGCACTCCCTCAAAGAATTCGGCCGGGCTTTTGACAAGATCAAGGAAAGGGCCAATCACGAAGAGATACAACAACTAACGGACTACGATTATTATCGTGAATCTCGCTGCCAGTCTGTTTCTTTCGTCAAGCAGTGGGCGGAAGATTCAAACAGAGGCAGAGACTCAAACGATCCAACACCATCCTCTTTGCCAAGCATTGGAACGAGTGGCGTTGGGGGTATAGTAACAGTTCCTTCTACTTTTGGGCCGGAAGACAAACCAGGAATGGAAGCAGGACCACAGGGGCAAAGCACCCTTTTTCATTTCGCCCGGCCCCAACAACAAAAGCTTCACAGGTTGTACGTCGAAAAGGAATCCTTCCGGGCCGTCTTTTTGCGCTGCGAGCTTTTTGACGCCAAGAGGGCGGCGGAGCGGTACCTTCACTTCTTAAACACGATCTGCGATCTCTTTGGGACAGGGGTCCTGGAACGGCCCCTCGACATCGACAGGGACCTGACACGGGAGGAGGTTGCCTGGCTCAAGAAGGGACATCACCAGCTTTTGCCCTTTCGGGACCGGGCCGGGCGGCGCATCTTTGCCTGCGTGGCGGACCTCGGGTTCGCTCTAGAGTCTACAGTACGGGTAAGCACATTGCGTTTTTGTTCTGTCCATTGCAGTATGGTATGGTAGAGTGCGCTGGTGCGTACTCACAGCGAAAGCAAAATACCAAAGGCACTATGCGATACATCTTGCATTTGTTGTGAGCAATGTACAATACCAACACCAACGATTGGTTTCGTTTCACTCGATCCGAGTCAAATCCACTCCAAATGCAATTCATAGCTTGTCACTCTAAGGAAATTTTCCACCGTATCTTTTTCCCGTGCTCTTCCCCTACACTGCATTGTACGTACCGCAATGTGATTGCGTTCCGTTCTGTCCCATCCTCCGTGTCGCATAGTTGAAGATCGTGATGTATTTGCTGTGCAAGGCTGCCGAGGACATCGACACGCAGCGGACGGGCATCATCATGGTCATGTTTCCGGCACCGACCCTGAGCGGAAACCTACAACCCGAGGAAGACGGAGATCAACACAAAGTCATCGCACAATCCAACATGCTCGMGTGCCAAACCATTTTGAACTCCATGCCTACACGCATCGCAGCCTTCCACATGTGCTTGCCCGACACCAAGTGGTACCGAATGTTTCCCTCGCTACTTGTTATATACAACCTCGGATCTTCGTCCAATCGCAAACGCTTTCTGCTCCACATCGGGAAGCCGACCGAACTCAAGTATGTCCTTAACAGCTACGGGATCCCCACCGAGCACATCCCGATTACCGAAACGGGAAAGATCAAGAACAAGCACATGACTTCCTGGATTCGGCTGCGCCAGATCCTAGACAAGGATTGCTACCACCAGAGCAAGCACGATGCAAGATATAATTCTTCGTCGGACAGCTCTGTATCATCGGACCTCACGGGCAAGCAAACTATCGTAGATTGCCCGGGTTGCAGCGATGTCCTCTTTCGATCGGGCAAGGCCGCAATGGTTCACTGGGGAAATTTCTTGCTGCGTGACATGACTGAAACAGTTCTAGACCGGTACATCGTTGGCACTTTCGCCGAGAAGAAAGAAATCGTGGTCAAACTCATCTCCGGCATCTACTCCATCGGCGGGAGGTTTCTGATCTGGGACAAGAACGGGTGGTGGAAAACCACGACCGGCGAGCAAACCTACAAGAAGGTCACAACCTTTGTAAGGAACTATAAATCGAGACGGAAAGCGGAGGAAAACCTTCAACGTCACGATTCGAGCACATATGCATTTGTGGTACGGAACGGGACGAACAAGAGAAAGCGGAAGGAAGTGGCTGTTGCCGATACCGTCACTCGAGCTGCTCGCCACCTCGATTTCGGCCGCTTGCAGGAACAAAAGACTGTTGCGAACTGCCTCAATCCAATGAATGCGGGCAATACCGCGGCGTAGTTGGCTAGCTGGCTAGCATCCCAAACAAGCCAACTACATCGTTAGCGCATAATACCTCAGAGTAAATACTATTTGATCGTCCTCTTTTTCAGATATAATTACATCAGACAGGAGGAGAGCCTTTCCAAGAAAGGAATCTGCTTTGTTTGCTCATCGTCCCCAATGGTGGCAGTTACTAGATTCTTAAGCTAGTCTACTATTATGATCACTACTAAGAATCAGGTGATGTGGTGCTTTGATCATCCAATCAAAATTTGTTAGGGACTGGCAAAACAGCCCCCCCCCCCCCCTTTATCAACAGTTTGATCCCATTGCTTGTTGTTGTTGTTGTTGTTGTTGTTGTTGTTGTTGTTGTTGTTGTTGTTGTTGTTGTTGTTGTTGTTGTTGTTGTTGTTGTTGTTGTTGTTGTTGCTGTGTCATATTTCAATGATTTTGTGCAGGTCTGTTCTGAATTCCATCAGTGGTGGTGGCAGGGGCAGCTTTTTCTCACCATTGCTCCTCCCCCTGTGTGTTGGCTTACTGCTACAACAAGTACTAGTAGTAGTACTAGTTTGGACCATTTCCAGCAGGATAGATACTAGTAGTACTAGTAGTATTTCTGTTCTTGTTTACTCAAATAATGTAAAACAACAACATGTACCTGACATCAAAAAGAAGTCTTGGCACCCTAATTTTGCACTTTAATCTTCATCTTATCCCATCACAAGTAGTAGTACTAGTAGCATTGGTGTGGTAGGAAAAAGAAAAAGGACAATTCAATTGTGGAATTTTAATGCTTTCTTTATCACAAATATCAATAAATATTAGAAGACGGACCCTCTAACTCCGACGTGAGCTTTCAGTAGCTCTGATTAGATCCTATGTAGCTCTTGGTACTGAATCTACACAGGGTTCTTATTATTCTGATCTACTGACATCTTTGTTCTTTGCGAGGTAATCTATTTCTCATATCACGGACCTCTTATGATCCTTGGACCTCTTACGATGGATCCTATGATACATACATATGAACAGTACCTTATGATAGGTACATAGGAATGGTATGTTCTTTCATTCCTTTCTTCAAAGCTTTGTACGTATACTTTCGATACAGTACGTACGTATCTGTTGCATTATCCTGGACAGTAGTAATATTGCTCCAATGTTGCAATACTACTAAACTGTAGCAATCATATCCTCAATATTTTCAACAGGGGGTTCTTCCTCCTGTGTTGTTGTTGGATGTTCAATAGTTCCTTTGCAAGGAACAAGCTTCCTGATATTGACAGTCTCACGTACGTTGTCACTCCTCTGCAACACTACAGTTCCATTCGTGTTGATTTCCACTATAGGTTAAGGACCATGTAGTCTTTGGGACAGCTTATCTGGTTCATAGTGTCTCATGTAAGCTTGTTGCCTGACCTGATATTTGAATGGTATTCTCTGAGCATTTTCTCTCCTA